TCTGGGGAGGGACTGGATTCCCAGCGGAACCCCCTCGCTCCGACTCAGCCCCCAAGAGCGGCAGCTGGAGCTTTCTCACCCCGGCCCGCCAAGGGTGGGGTTTGGCCCGCGAGGGGCGCTGGAGGTGGCCAGGCCGGAGAAATTCCTTCCACCTCCCCGCCGGCTGCAGCGAACGGGTTCCAGGAGTCGGGGAGCTCGGCTGCCAGGATGCCGCCGGGAGGGACCAGGATTGCCCGATGCAACTTCTTCGTGGGAATGAATAGAAACACCGGGCACGAGAGGGTCTCATGGAGCCAGAAGAGGACCTGGGATTAGAAATGCTGCAGTGGTGGCATTTCCAGTGCTTTACAGTGAAGTATTAATTTGGGTTTGCGGCTAGTATTAGGGGAATGCTGAGAAAACGAAGGCTGAGCAGAGATAGGTAGGTTCCCAACATTTCTGCCCCAAGGGTGCTCATGGATTAGGGGGCTGACAGCCTGGACAGGGGCCCCTGAGGTGGCCACAAGGCTTGCTTGGTCCTAGACCCACTCCAAGTGAATGGTTAGATCAGTGACTTGGAGGAAGACTTATAAGGGAGGCCAGCTGATTCTTTGCCGAGATCCAGAGCTGAGAGGAATGACAAGTGCACAGTAGGATAAAATCAAGATTCCAAATGTTGGCAATCAGGCAGAAGGATGGACCAAGACTAAGAAGATGAATGTGACTGATTATAAAGGTTGAGGCCTGTGCTAGAGTTAAGAAAATTAGGTCAGGAATTCAGGCCTAGAGCCTGGTTCAGAGGCCCAGCAACCCAGGCCCTGGAGCTTCCCACTTGCTCTCTGGTGTTGACTGTCAAGCTGGTCTGTGCAATCGGAGACCTCTACCCACTAAGCAGGTCGAAGGGGGAAGTAGAGTGCCTGGCCCTGTGCTCCCTGTGTTCTAATCCCAGCTTTGCCTCTTCCTAGCTGTGTGACCTTGGGCAAAGTGCTTAACGTTTCTATGCCTTAGTTCCCTCATTGGTAAAACGTTCATAATAATCATCTCTTTCTCATAGTGTTGTGAGGCTGAAATGAGAAAATGCATGTAAAATGCTTAGTAATGTATGTAGCACGTGGTATTCAACATATATTACCTGCTGTTATTGTTCGTTACAGTAATATGCCCATTTCTGTGTGGGAACATTGGCCAATGCAGAGCTTATGCCTAGGAGCCACCAGGGCTGCAGAGGGTCTATCAGTCATGTCTTTTTGCAAAGGGGAGTTTAGTTAAGAAAAGACCCAAATGCTTTAGGAAGGAGAAGGACTTTTCATGTGGGCCGATGCAGAGCTGGGACCCAGAGCTGAGGGCTCTTGGAGTCAGGGTTGTCACTCAGCATAGGGAAGAACACTCAGATTTTCAATCTGCCCCCAAATGAAGGGACAGCTCCTTAGCTGCAATGTCCTTCCCACCTCCTTCCAAGTGACTGGCTGTCCCTCCTCCCAGCCCAGTTTGAATGCAGGCACGTGTGAGTCCTCTCCCCCATTCCACAAACACTTACCAAGCACCTGCTAGTGCTGAACTCTTGTTTTAGATACTGAAGACTGCAGTGATTGAGAGAGACAAGTGAACAAGTGAACACCATTAGTCCTAAGGAGATAATATAAATAGGATAATGTGGTAGGATGAGGGTGGAGGCTCTCTAAGGAAATGGGAATGGAAACTGAATGATGATGAGGAGAGAGCTGTACAAACACCCAGGGCAATGCCTTCCTTGCAGAGGGAACAGGCAGTGGAAAGGCCCCTAGTGAGGAAAGAGCCCTTTTGGCTGGAGCCCGGTGGGGAGGGGAAACAGGACCTGGGTTCTTGACGTCTGGCCTGATGTTCCCACCACATTTGGGGGGTATCACTCTTTCCTCTTCCCAGCCCTTGATTTGCCCTCTGCACAGTGCTGATTGTAATGGACCTTGATTCATTCCCCACCGTAACCTCCTGGGGCCCAGGGATCTTGGTTTGCTTCTTGCCACTGTTCATGGCTCACTGCTGGGCTCACAGTAAATGTTTATGGAATAACTGGAAAGGATTTTGATCTGCGATAGGAGATGGGATCAGGTAACTGCTCTAAGATGTTAGGAATCACTTCCTGGGCACCACTGGGTCCCCAACTCTGGCCCCTGTTCTCAGACACAAGTGGGGATGACCTGGGCACTCAGGTTGGGCCTGACTGTAGGAGGTGTTTGTCCCTCCCCACCTTTCCTCCTCAGCTGTGGGCTGGTAGGGAGAAAAGGGAAGGGGAGCCCTAGGGCCTGACTGCAAAGCTGTTTTGGGGGTACAGTAGATGATGATGCCATTCTGGGAAGCAGGTGTAGCCTGTGGGCTGGGGTAGGTTTGAAGTCTGATTTTGCCTTCTGTTTGGGGTTGGAAGCCCTCCAGATGTTCCAGACTGCCCTCCCCTCCTTCTTCCCTACGGTCTTCACTCCCTGCTCCCATGACACCTATAGGAACAGGGGGTGCTGGTAACTCTGTTAGAGGAGAATCAGTGTGCCATGGGCCAGAGGAGCTCCCTTTCCCTGAGGACCCTGGGGCAGAAATCAAGAGGGTGAGGAATCCCATCACCCACCCTCTGGGGCTCTCTCCTTCTTACTTCCTTTGTCTCCCTTCATGGAAACATCTACTTCTCTTTTTCCAGACCTCATCATGGCCTGAAGGGCAGCTCGATAACCAGAGAAGGCCGCGCCTTGGCTGGTCCTGCCCTCTGGAGCCCAGTTGAGAGAGGAGAGGGCTAAATAGGGTTGGAAAAGGGAAGGAGAGATGTGGGGTCCTGGATGCACTGGCTGAAGGGGCTTTGGCACCAGTGGGGCCAGTAGGGACAGCTTGGGAAGGCTGGAGGGGTGGCTCCAGAAGGAGAGACTAGTGCCCAGAGTTGCTTGGAACTAGGTTCTGGGGCTAGCTTTGATGCGTCCACATTTAATTTCCCTTCAAATTGCTATCACATATGTGTGTCCAGCACTGTTCTAAGTACTTTACACATAACTCATTTTAAGCCTGATGATAACCCTCTGGTTGTTAATTTTAGAGATGTCAATTACAGATTGTGATTTTTTTCAGATTAGGAACATGAGGCACAAAGAGGTTACGTAACTTGCCCAAGGTTCCAAGTGATGGAGCCAGGATATGAACCTAGGCAGTCTGGGATCTAGCATCCTGCTCTTAACTGCTCTACTCTAAGCTGTGCCTTTCTCTTTTGGGACTGGAGTCCCTTCACAGAATATTCCTGAGAGTCCTCATTGCTCTGGTTAGAAGGCTGGGCTGCCTGGAGATGGGGTGACGGAGTCCCTGCCCTGTGGAGCCTCTGAGGGTTTAGGGGCCACACTGTAGCCCCCTAGGGAGAGAAGGGTATTCTGCTCTGTCCTCACAATAGTTTCCTTTTCTTTGCTTACAAAACGCCCTTTTGTGCACATCAGGGGGCTGAGAGTTGGATTGAGGTGCCCTCAATCCAGATCAGGGTATAAGGCTGAGGGGCTGGATGCTGCCATGTGCCCTAAAATGCCCCAGATGCTGTCAGCATCTCCCACACCCACATCCCCAAGAGCTGTTTGCCTGGAGCATAGGCCCCAGGCTCTGACGTCCTGCCTTGGGCTGGCTTGTCCCCCCTAGTAGCCTGGGTCCTGCCTCTGTTCCCACAGCTGTGTTTACTGGCTTGTGCTGTCTCCAGAGAATGTCCCTGCTGGCTGGCTTCTCCTCAGTCACACTGACTCCCCCTCTGTAGGCCTCGACCATGGACAGAGGCCAGCCCCGGCCCCTCCCTGGTGTCCTGGCTCCTTTTGCCAGGCCCTGAAGGCCCAGAGGACGGTTTGAGTATTGTCCAAGGTCTGTCCATCCATCCAGAGTGGTAAGTGTTCTGCTCTTGTCCTTTGTACACCCCTGGGGCCCCCGAGCAGGTGGGGTTGGTGGGTAGAGGTGGGTATGGAGCTGCCTGAAGTGGATGTGGTTTGGGAGATGGAGGGGGAAACCCTGCAGAGGTGGTAGGTGGGTGCTGCTCAGCACGGGGAGATCTGATTTCTCAGTGGTGAGGGTGATGTGGGGGTGGGAAAGGGGAAGCCTCATCTTCTTAGCAGGACAGGTGGAGGGGGGCACTCTGGGTCC